CTAACGTTAGCTTTAAGTGATTAATGTTCTGCTTTTAACTCGGTATCACATTTGTATCTAGAACTGTGGAATTTAAAACTTCTGACCTCGTCTACAGAATTTATTAACTCTAGGTGATGGTATAGTGATAACATTATCATATCATGTTTACTATCATGTTTACAAAGCTATGTTGTCCATTTATTAATATTGTGCATATTGTGATTAAGAAATAACAAAATAAGCTTTTAAAGTTGTTTTCTATTCATGTGAATACTGAAACGGGTCGCCAACGAGCAACATTCAGTGTTTTCAGCTGCTCAAACTATTTGACTCTTTTCTGTTTTAAATCATTCTAAATTTTATGTATTTGGACTTTATTCTGTTGGTCAGAAGAAGAATAAAGAATTCAAAATAGAGTAACTGACGGGTTATTCAATAATGAAAAATGTGTTACTTGCGGCTCTAAGAGAAATTGATTAGTTTATGCATTATTATGTATATGTTCCATTTGGTGTGATGTATTGATACAGAATAAATATTAGTATTGATTCCGACCACATAGCAGCTGTATACTGTACATACTGTACTGCCCGACCTCCCCTTGCAGAGTTAGTGCAGCAGATCTTCCTCTTCTTTAACCCCATTCTCAACCCTCGCCTCCTTCCTCTCATCTCCCTCCCTCTCTGAAGCATGCTGGGAAATGTGCCAGTGCATAAGGGCATGCAAGCAGCAGCAGCAGCAGCAGCAGCAGCGGCAGCGTGGCTCTGCTTTCTAATGTGGACTGAGGCGAAGCTGCTGTGAACTCCGCCCATAAAGGTCAATGCACTGCCCTTGGTCCTGACACAGTGATGCATGTGGTGGTGGAATAATAAAAAAATAAAAAATAAAAAAAAAAAAAAAAAAAAAAAAACTGGTTTCAAAATAAAAATCCATTAATGCAGCCTAGTTTTCGGAGGATCCTGTGGAGCGAGCAGTATTCGAGAAGTCCCGAGCTTCCATTAACTCATCAGAACGACGCCACATAATGTCCCAACGATTTGTTTCTGCCGGAGTCATCTGGTGTTCGGTGGGCTGAAGTGTCGCTGCAGAGCTCTAAACATATCACGCCTCAACGAATACACACAAGGAAAGCTAACGGTGTTTGATGAACTCTGGTAATGCCTCATATTTAAACAACACTCAGGTTTAAGGCAAAATTAAAAACAACAATAAAACAACTATCCGATTTCTGAGTGACATGCAAGTAAAAGTTCTCAAAGTTCAGCAAGAACGAGCGACGTGAGAAAGGAACGATATCGAATCACAATTGTTGATATAAAAACAAATGATAGAAAATCCTCACATTTCATCAATTGTAAATCTTTGCCAGTTTTTTCCTGATAAATGACTTCAGCAAATAATCAGTTTCTCTTTTTAAAACATTAAAAAAAACAGGAAAAATGAGGCTCAACACAAAATCAAAGACGCTGAAGTGACTTCATCAAAATGTCTTCTTTCGTCTTTCTGACCAACAATCCAAAAGTTCAGATTTCTATAATGCGTTAAATCCTTTTTGGCATCTTTTCTTAAAAACTCAGTTCGTTGATTATCGCAATAATTGCAGATTAAATTCCTGCCGATAAACACATGAACCACTTAAGATACGATTTGGTGCAGAAGCCACGTTTCTGTAGCAAATCAATAGGTTTACTACACTTCACACGTACAGAAATGTTTAGTCTTCAAACCTTTTTTTATTCAACAAAGAGGCAAAAGTCCTCAAACACTCCTGTTGTATAAATACAAGCAGCTGCACATATTTGCTTGATGAATTTCTTAAAATGAACCACTCAAAGCGCTTTAACACTACATGCCATTCACACCCATTCATTCACTGAGTCCATCAGGACCAACTCACTCATTGGTTCCCATTCACACAGAAGGACACATGGACAATGGGCCAGCGGAGCCGGGGATCAAACCGCCGACCCTCCGATTGAAGGACGACCCGCTCTTTCGCTGAGCCAGTCGGCCGATTAATCGACCAATAAAACTACATTTTCTGTACGGCAACAAGAGAAATTACAACAATGAAATACAATGTTTTGATTATTGCACTGTACGGATAAACTGTTCTGCATGAATCTAATGAAAATCTAATTAGATGTTTTAATGACTGCAGCATTAAAACGCATTCAAGCTCATTTATTAGAACCCTCGTATGCCACGGAAAAAACAAAAACGTTGAATATTTAGTCGTTACATCACGGTAAAGATTGTTCTACTCCCTTCATGAAACCTGCAGCATTTGAACTCCAGCAACCTGCGACAGGTGTGAGCTTCCAGTCCGTCTCACTGGTACAGTGAGTTCATCCACAGCTGCTCTGTGTTCCAGGAGCTCCGGTCCGACTGGCCTACTTCTACAGTCTCTCTCTGCACAACATGCTCCAACACACCAGGAAGCCATTATCTAACATCGAGGGACGTGCTTCCAGTATTTACGGTGGTGTGAGGTTCAACCCCCGAGAGCACCTGCGCTCAAAGGTTTCACTTTTTTATTACCCACAAAGTATCAGGGTCATTATGTAATCCAGGCTGCATGATGTTTGATCCGGTCACAACAGAACGCCTCTGTTATGTAATAACAGGGTTCATTTACATCACTTCTGGATTCAGAATTTTACTATTAAACGGTACCACAGTATTGAGTAAATTGCAGTTTTAAAAACGTGATACTGATTATTTACCTTTCTTACTCACAGACATCACTCTAAACACAGACGAACACCAACACTAGAGACAGATTTTAAAATAAACAAAGTCAATGCAGCAGAGGCAGAGATATCCAGACTTTCAATCCCTGGATCCCAATTTACATTTCCCATGATGCAACGGCTGTTAAATGCTTCCTGTCTGGTAAATACTCATGTTTTCTAAACTTGATACTTTAAGTTCGCAGTGTTTTTCCTGCATGTAGACGTATTCATTCCTCCAGCTTTCAACAAAACTCTGTCGGGTGTCTTCATGAAAAACACTATCTTCCTCTTTGTCTGACATTTGTAACAGACAAAGAGGAAGATAAGAGCCGTCTGTTGTTGTCAGGACCCAGACGGTGACCTCCAGTTCTGGCGAGCGAAGCTGATGCTTCATGTCTTAAAGCTGCATTCTCTCTAGTGTCCACCAGGGGGCGACTCCTCTGGTTGGATAGAAGTCTATGAGAAAATGACTCTACTTCTCTCTTGATTTATTACCTCAGTAAACATTGTAAACATGAGTTAAAGACCTTAGCTTTTTATTACATTTAGATCTCCAATCTGGGTACTCTGCTTTGATTGCTGGTTCCTTATCCGACACTCAAAAACCAAACAAATCGTTATCGGAGAAGAGGCCCCCGTAAAGCTTTTAGTGCGTATTCAGCCATTTTAAAAACAATAGGTGTGCCTTTACTTGCGCGCTAAAGAGCTAACGAGCTAACGATGCGGTTGCGGGAGTCTTGGTCAGTCCTGGGTGACGGCCAGTTCCTCACAAACAAATGTGAATTCTGCCTTAAAACTGGAGTACTCCCGTCTGTCCTCGATCGTGCGGAGACAAAAGCACAAAGTAACACTGCGATCAAGTCAAATTCAGCAGATGAACCAAACAGCAAATAATAACAATGTCTCGCATTAAGTAACTGCGATCAGCAAAGGCGTAATCGATATACTGAACGTGTGATATGTAAAGGTTATTGATCGCATCACCCACTCTGTTTATTGCACCATATGCTTCTCATCATAACTGTGAAGCAGAGAGTGAATGACAGACTGTGAGTGACGACGCGAGACATCACACGGATGTGTTTGCTGCTCGTCGGCCTGCGAAACCGCTCTGAATATTTCTTTCAAAAAAAAAGAAAAAAAAAGAAAAAGATTATAAACTGTATAATTAGTCAATGTGATCCGGGCGATAATTATTCCCCTCCCGTGGAAACGGTGGTGTAGTTTGTTTCTTGGTGACAGTTTCAGGAGGCGTGAATTAAACATAATGTTTGGCTGTTATGCGTGTGCAGTAGTGGGGTGTTGTCCCATCTGTTGAAGGAGGTTAATATGACGGATGGGGGGGGGGGGGGCTGCACCACCCTCACAGCCAATGGGAAGGTGTCAGTCCGGCGAGGAGCATTTTTCAGCCTCTCATCGCGCCCTCCAAGGCCCGAGAGCGATGAGTAACCAGCTCGGTAAATACTTTGGGTTTGAACAGCGGGGCGCTGGTGACACTGCCAAAAACGCAGAGTCAACAAAAAAACGATCGCTTTACCGGGAAAAGACAAAGAGGTCGTGGGAAGATACCAGATGAAGCCAGAACAGGAAGACAATTGCGGAAGCTGCACTGTGTGGGGTGAGCTTTGGATTAAATAAACTATTACAAAATGCAGCAATAATATGAGATTGGAAAAGTTATTAAATCTCAACAGAGACAAAGCGACCTGAATGATGGGATAGTGATTAAACTCACTTCCTTTCCTATATATTCTTCACAATAAAAGTCCCCCATTAGTTTGTTATTTAAAAGCTTTTTATTCTGAAGCAGCAAAATCTGAAAATGTTGGGTTTCTAGGACTCCAAAGAGACCAAAACCCCAAAGTGAGCCGGGTCACCTCGGCATGTGGTCTGGCCGACCGGATCCCGATGCGTTGCCACGATCCGGATCTCTTAGTGGAACGGACTCGACGGTTAACGCGTTCCGTCTTTGAATAAAGCATGTGATCGACTCTAAATAGCTTCCAGTTCAGCCATGCAGGCTCCGAATTGTGCTCCAGTATAAACGGTCCCAGCTGACCTGGGAGCAGCCAACATCGAGGCCAACCGGGTCACCGTTCACACTTTTAATTAGAAAAAACATCTGTGGCAATTAGACAAAAGGGCATTTACAGTTAGCAGAATAACTGTCGGTGCACACGTCAGTGTGTGTGTGTGTGTGTGTGTGTGTGTGTGTGTGTGTGTGTGTGTGTGTGGGGGGGGGAGAGGTGGTTCCAGGAAGAGGAGTCACTACAGTACAAATACCATTGTTTGTTCCTGAAGGTTGAATGTGTGCCGTCAGCCGTTTGTACCCACACCCCCGGTGATGATGCGAAAATCCCTCTACATCCGGGGGAAGTGTGTGTGTGTGTGTGTGTGTGTGTGTGTGGGGGGGGGTTCAGTCAAGGCCGTTTGTCTACGTACGCGGCCGATTTCCAGCTCCTTCTCTGAGGCGCACTGGAAAGCCTGACCGCTACCTATCGGATTAATCACCGCCGACTCATAAACCAACCGTGATGGATGGTGAAGAGCCGCAGACGACCCGCCTCCTCCAGCACACCGGAGCCCCCCGGAAGCAGAGAAGTCAAATCATCGCACAGCAAAGAGACGGCAACTTGAACTGAGGTATCACCTGAAAACACACCCGAGTGTGAGGATACTCTGCTGAGGTTTCACAGAACAACCCTCTTACATCATCTATCTGTGTGATGTGCAATGCGTTTGTCATCAACTTGGTGCCGATACTTTTCCCCCGTCCGCTTCAGTCAGTGGTTCCCCTGTGCTGTCCCAGAATGCCTTTCAACAGCCCCCTCCCGAGAGAGTGGGCGTGAACGTGTTGATTTTACTCTCAAAAAAAAAAAAAAAACGCAGAGATGCAAACAGCCTGAAAGTGCGATCCCTGAGCTGTGGGGCATCTGTATTCACAGCGGGGTCTCTCTCTCTCTCTCTCTCTGAGCGAGAGAGCGAGAGAGAGACTCTCGGTAGAAGCTTTTGCTCCGTGATTTTGAGGAACCGATCACAGAGAGCTCACATCTATAGTCGAGGATTTGTTTGATCAATCAGAAGAAATCAATCTCCAACAACCTTAACAAACGTCATTAGTGTTAATTGGTTTCAGCCTCTCATATGTGAAAATTAAGTTTTTGACAGACTAACAAAGCGATTTAAAATCATTTGTCCTGATTTTTCAGACATCTTATAGACTAAAACAACTTACACATTCATCACAAACACAATTACAAGATGAACCAATAATGAAAATAATCATTACTTGCATCTGCACTCCGTTTAATCTTAATATCTTTGAGTTGTGGACTGTTAGTCGGACATCACCCAGGACTCTTTCCACAGATTTGAAGTGTTTTTTCGACTGCATTTGAAACTGAATTAATCACTTTGCTGCGAGTAAAGCAACACATAAGAATTTCATAATGTGTCCGAAAGGGTCGATTCCACCTGTGTTAATGATGGAGGATGTGAAGCACTTCTCTAACGTAGCCTCACTTTAGCAACACCGGTGTGGCAGCAGGTGTAGGTGAGCAGCACCTCCAAAAAACCCTGGCTACAAAAAAAAACACATCCTCAACCACACATGGCCCTGCAACCTATGCACCGTGATATCATCCACAGACACGCACCTACACACACCCACACTCATGCACAAACACAGTAAGTTAGGCTAACCTGAGCACCTGTGAGCCCTGCTAGGCAGCAGTGCAGGGGGGGGGGGGGGGGGGGGGGGGGCAGTTAGTTTGCAGTGTTTCTCTGCATTAGCATGATACATTAGCATTCATGAGGCAATTATGCTCACACCGGAGCCAGTCATGGCACCCATGTGTGTGCGAGCTGTCTTTTACTTCATGACTTCTTTGTAGCAACACACACACACACACACACAAACACACACACACACACACACACAGTGAAGCTGCTAGGTGGCTGCATGTATGGACGCTGCTGCATTCAGGGCTCCATAGTGAGCCACAAAATGGGAGGGTTTTGTTGCATTATGGCGAGGCGTTACTGTACTGCTCGTTATGCATAGCAGCAGATGAGACAACAAGCCTCATGATGAAACCTGTTCGTCTTTAAACACACTGCTGCAGCACCACACCGACCAAACGGCAGCAAAAAATTCAAAATAGAAATACCCGTTTTGTGTTTTACGCAGGGGCTCCACAGAGAGGATGCTGATCCTATAGATGCGGCACCCGTCACCGTGCTGCCCCCCCCATCCTTTTGGTGTCGAAACCCGAGAAGAAATAATAGTGCCTCGTATGACTTTGACTAAATGTTTCCCCCCCTTAATAAATCAATGGAGGCGCAACAATAAAGCGCAAACGTTGCAGTGCCACACATGCGCCCTAGCTGCTGCAAATGTGGCATCAATGACGCCTTTAAGTTAACATCACCCGTCAGGTACAACAACAACAAAAAGAGCATTGAGGATGTGATGATGTTAATACGACACTCTCAGACCCCCCTCCTCCCTTTTTTTCTCCTCCTAAACAAATGTGACATCTTTAGAAGTTACGCACGGTTAAAAGGTGTGATATCACTCCAATTCACAACATGCGGTGCTCACCAAGGTTGGGGTTTTGGGGGTTTTATCTTTATTTTATTTTTTTACCTGCTTTCCTCTTCGCCGTCTTCGCTATCGTGATTCCCGGATTGAGAAGGAGAACGTGTCACCTACATGTCTCATTGTAAATCCCAGGTCTGGAAAAAGGGGAATTGATCAGCCGCAGTGAAAAGCCTCGCTCGTCGTCCCCCTCCAGTACAATACAAAAAACAACAACACAAAGAAAAGCGTATAAAACCGTTTAGAGGACGCGTTTAAAAAATATTTTTACAGTCGCGTTATTTCAGTTTTTATCGTTGCGGTGCAGAGTGTGTGATGCTCCAAACGCTCCACGTACGCGGCTGATGTTGCTCCCTCCGCCTCTCCGACACACACTGCTCCTCACACGGGGTCCGCCGTGCTCCGTGGCCGAGGCATCGATTGGGCAAATACGGCACCAGCCAACTGCTTTGCATTCCTCAAGTACTGAGGAGGAAATGATCGACCAATCACGGAGCGGGGAGAGTTTGCAATCGGGTCCGTTCTGATTGGCTGGATCCGCGTTCGAAAACCCGAAGTGGTGAGTTCCCGGTACCACGCGCGCACCTGTTACTGGTTGACAGTTAATTGTAAATATTAATGCGCAGACCGTTAGTGCGGCTAAATATTAATGCGCAGACCGTTAGTCCTGCCACCGTTAAATATTAATGCGCAGGAAGAAAAATAAGTAATCAGAATCAGAACCAGCTTTATTGGCCATGTGTGCGTGCACATACAAGGAATTTGACTCCGGTTTACACATTGCTCTCAACGTACATAGAGTTTACAATTAACAAGAAAAATATAAAAAATAAAACAACAAGAGGAGTAGAACAGATGTAAGTATGAACATTTAAACGACTATGTAGCCTACAATATAAATATAAATATATATCCAAAAGTATATATATGAACATAAACCAACAACAATGACAATGGAATTGAGCTAATAGTGCAGTATGACTGATTCATTGTTCATGAGAGTGACGGCCAGCGGAAAGAAGCTGTAACTATAATTGCTTACATATACTATGTTGCTTATACTTCACATATTTTATTAATATCTGCCTGAACACAAATATTAAACCCTCTTGGCTTTCTTTACACTTGCAACATAGGCCAACATTTGTCTGTTTAGCAAGCTACTATGATAATTGTGTTTACTTTTGCTGGTAGATGTATTATTATTTATCAGAAATTGCCCGAGTATACCTTTAATAAAAGCTTGTCCATCCTTAGAAACTAGGGATTCTGGATTCAACAGTGAGCTAATAAGAATTTGTTAGCATGAAACAGCCCACTCGTTTGTACTAACTTTACATTTTATGATTACCAAACTTACAGAAGGAATATTTACCATTTTGAGGCAAACAAACGCACAGTGAGGCACAACAGGCCACAAGAGATATAAATGCAGGATTTAATGACATTTAAAACATTTAGCAGCCATGTGTCTTGCCATAAATAGGACCAGATTTCATTGGAACTACTTTCTCTCTATGGATTCATTTGTAATGCTTTGAACAGCACAAACGTAACTTATCTCAAAACACACCACCTGCGTGACCAGATAGCAGAGGCAAATGAGAAAATATGTTCTTTTTTGTGATATAATTTGGGTGAACTGAGCCCTTTATAAAGAGAATAAAGTACAGCCATAAAAATATGGTTTATGCAATAACTTGTGATTTCCCAGGCCCACCACTCCCCATTGTAATGTGTAATCATCCTATTATGGTAATTGACTTTCCACCATCAATGCACCAGACTAATAAGGTGTGTGAACTCTCTTCTGTGAATAAATAGGAGTTTAATATGAGTTTCGGTGGGGTTGCCCCCCCTCCTCCCTGTTCAATGACCTGCTTGATGAATGGAAGGAAGAAGAGGGAGGGGGGAGGATGCAGAAGCACCAAGTGATAATGCGGTGTCATCAGTTACCTTGACAACCGCAGCCTGCACATCTAACGTGTTAATTATGATATTTTTTTTTTTTGCCAGGAAATTAGCAGAGGCTTGTTCCCTTGTTCCCTTGTTCTTGCCCCCCGGCCTCTGTGGCTCAGACCTTTTGCCTCCATCACTCTCTGGTGACTCCCGACAACAAGAGAGAGAAAATATTTAATATGCAAATCTCTACGGCGCTCATGCCTCCTCGAGCCCCCGGCTCAGACTCCCCGGCAATAGAATTGTTACCGATGCAAAAAGCGACAGGCAGCTTCTTCTGATGGTTCAGTCAGTAGTGACCCTGGTGGTGCCCTCTTTACTAATACGACAAAGGTTCCTCTCTGGCTGACGTGGAATTGGATTCACTTTTTATTTATTCATATTTATGCAAATGTAAGTCTTTATATAAAGACATAATGTGTCCCTGAGTTTCCCTTATGATTAAATAAGTCCAATAAGGGACGAAGAAAGGATTATAAAATACTGTGGTCTTATACGACGGAGTGAGAATAATTATTACCAAATAGTAAAATATCCCTTTGAGTATATTATATAATTTCGAAATGTACATGTTACAAATATCCATGTAAGAAATTTAAAGAAAGTCGATGTTGAAGTGTACAATACTCTGTTTATGTGTTCATTTCATGGTATTAATTAAATGTGGCACTCATTTCCTTTCAATCACAGCCCAAAAAAACTATAAGATGTCAGTCATTAATTATCATCCATTATTATCAGCATTATGTTATCCCTAAAAAGTTGCAAAAAACCTCCACATCCTCCGAAATGTTAAGCGCCTGAGTGCCTGTTAACCCCAAGAGACGTCATCATGGTGGGCGCTTTGTCCTATGATCTCTGTTTGAGGGGTTTTTTCCCCCCAATCTGAATACTTCATAATCATAATATTTCAATACTATGAAGCTTCTGCAATATGCACTCTTGAACAAATGTCAGTATGTGTGGATGTAAAATGATACTTTTCCACCCTGATGATGAACTCAAGTGTTTAAAAGGTTAACTCTGACCTGCGTTGTGCTCTGCAGGTCTGCCGTCTTCTAACCTCTGCAGTTGGATTCTTCAAATGATCGTCCATTTTCATGCAGATGAATATTTTAGTCCAAGTTTGTTTGGTTTCAGTGGAACGAGCGGCGCTGACCTGAATTCAGCAGAAACGCTGCGGAGGAATCGCAGATGGAGAAGCTACATGTTGGTCTCTGCAGAAATAGCCAGAGGAGTTGGCACACATCTACCCAACTGTTAGCCAGCTGTTCCCTCACCAAAGACAACTCTGGTGATCCTTTAATATATCTCTCTCAACATTATGCACATGTCACCGCTCACAGCGACAGGTTATAGTAGGAACATCAACATTCATTTCACTGTGAAGTCACAAGGTCCTGCAGGTGTTGTTGCAGTGATTTAGCTTCTTCTAGAGGGCATTTTCATAACACGAGCTTTAAATATCAATACATCAATATACCTTCACTAAATGTGCAATCGATGCACAGCAGGAGATCAATTCTGTCCAGCACACTAAATTAAAAAAGAGGGGGTTTCAGTGTGTGTGTGTGTGTGTGTGTGTGTGTGTTCAGCCCTCACTATGGAGTGCTCTTGAGGAGATTTGATTTTTAAAAGATAAAGCACAGACAGATTTGGTTTCAGTTGTCACAATAAGTAATTAATGATAATGATGATTGAAACAAAGCCAAACCTGGAAACCTTAAACCTAAAAGCAATTGGAGATCTTTATGGTCAGCTGATGTCAACACATTGAGTGTTTGTGTGTCAGTTTACTACCAGAGGGAATAAAACAACGGCAATACCAGAAAAAAACTCTTGAAGTTGATTCGTAAATCCATCCGTGCGAAGGTGCTCAGATTACAGAAAACACAGACGTCTTTGATCCTGTAAGAGCGTTATTCCAAATGTGAGGTATAGCAGCATTCTAGAGGATGTGGTCAGATGTCGAATACATTATTTAAATACAGTATTTTTGAGATTTTAGTGAAATGTAATGAGATAAAGATAAAATGTAGACATTACAAAATGAGATCCAAGATGACACAATTAAATCCAACATTTACTTCAATTGGAGACTGGAGTTCACATCCAGTTAATGTTGGAGCTCAGTAACAAAACAAACAAATGTTGGCATTGTGTGTTAAAAAAAACT